TCAGGGCCCAGCTCCACAAGTCTGCTCAGAAATCACTTTCTCATCAGGCCAAGGACATTTCAAAGTTGCTGTGTTTTCTCTATCATTTCCTTCCCTCCTCCCCCATTCACTTCCTGTTTTTTTTTCTTCCTCTTTCTCCACCCCCACCCCATCTCTCCTGGCATGTTCCTGCTGTATGAGAACAGGAACAAAGTCCAGAGCACTGATAATCATGGTTTCCTGCCTTGCCCTCTAGTTGTGGCTGCACAGAGTAGGGGGCAGCCCAGCCTCCCTAGGGCACATGGGCCCATGCCTTTAGAGTCCCCCTGCCTGAAACAGAATCTAGTAAGAAAAATCCTTCATGTCCTTAGGACATTTACAACTTCCAAAGAAGCATTGGTGCTAAAACGTTTGAATAAATAGACAACTTTTGATGTTCAAGCCTGATAGCTACAGTGTGCTTCAGATGGGCAAAAAGTAGATCTAGGAGTTAAATGTGAACTCATTTCTGTTTCTGTACTGTTTTCTCTTTTTGACTCTGTAGACCATTCTAGCTCTGGGAAGCTCAGTGCCCTACTTCTTTGAAAAAATGGAGTTAGTGGTACCTCACAAGAATTGTTTGAGAACAAATTGGGAAAATATATCTGTAAAATTTACATGACATGCCTGGCAGATACAATTTGCTTAGTAAGTGTAAGTTCTCTGCTTTTTTTTCCCTCCCATTTGTTATTGTTGTTGTTTTCTTTTTTTGCACATGGGGAGGAGTGCTCAAATATATGACAGCCATAAGAACCCAGAAGATCCCAGAAAAACTGAAACTCATGGGAGGAGAGTCCATATCTGTTATCTCTAAAACATGAGAGGGAGAGACCTCCTGTCCATCACTAAAAAACAGAGCTCACCCACTGCTGTATCCATGGACATAGCATCCCATAACAGTATTTTTCTAATGAGAAACAAGGATACCATCCAAACCACATACCTGAGGTGAACTGTTTTACTAATTTAACTCCCCATAGTTAAACCACAAAAACTAGAAAAATAGCAATCTGGAAAAAGAGCCACCCCCTTTTTTGAAAATCTATTAAAAAATTAAAAAGATTTCCCATTCAGGGTCAGTGACTACTTGTTTGAGAAGTCAGCCTGACCATTATTCTATTATTATTATTATTATTATTAGATTGTTTATTTGAGAGGTCTCTGCTTTTTTTAATGTAGGCACTTACAGCTATAAACTTTCCTCTTAGCACAGCATTTGCTGTGTCCCACAGATTCTAATAGGTAGTATTTTCACTTTCATTGGATTCTAGGAATTTTTTTATTCCTTCCCTTATTACTTCAGTCACTCATTGGTTTTTCAGCAGTGTGTTGTTCAGTTTCCATGTGTTTGAATATTTTCTGGAGATTCTTTTGTTTTTGAGGTCTAGTTTTATTCTCTTGTGATCTGATATGCAGGGGGTTATTTTGATTTTCTTGAATTTGTTGAGACTTGCTTTGTGTCCTAAAATATGATGTATTTTAGAGAAAGTTCCATGAGGTGCAGAAAAGATTGTGTATTGCCTAGTTGTTGGGTGAAACACTCTGTAGATATCAACCATGTCTACTTGGTGTAATGTGTGGAGTGGCTGTGAAGTTTCTTTGTTAATCTTTTGTCTGGATGACCTATTTGTTAGTGACATGGGGTATTCAGGTTTCCCACTATCACTGTGTTAGCAGCTCTCTGTGCTCTTAGGGCCATTAGAGGTTTTTTTAGTGTAGATGGGTCCCTGTGTTTCGTGCATATATGTTAAGGATCCTCTTGATTAATTGTTCTTTTCATTAATATGAAGTGGCCTTCATTGTCTCTTCTGATTGATTTTAGTCTGAAGTCTACTTTGTCAGATATGAGTGTAGCTACTCCTGCCTGTTTATGGGGTCCATTTTCTTGGAAAACTTTTTTATACCTTTGACTCTAAGTCAGAGTTTACTTTTTTCAGTGAGATAAGTCTCTTGTAAGTAACAAATGGTTAGGTCTTGTTTTTTAACCCAATTTGCTATTCTATGTCTCTTGATTGGAGCATTGGGGCCATTTACATTCAGTGTTAGTATTGAGAGGTGCCTGTTGCTTCCAGTCATTTTTGTTCCCCGTTGTTTAGTTTTACTTATTCTTTATTTACTGGTCTGCTTGCTCAGAAGGGTTTATTCTTTCTTGAGTCTTCCTGTCTCACTCTAGTTTCTTCTATATGTAAAAGTCCTTTAAGTATCTTCTGAAGTGCTGACTTGGTGTTCACAAATTCCTTTAGTTTTCCTTGTTGTAGAAGGTTTTAATTTCTCCTTCAATTAGGAAGGATAGTTTTGCTGGATAGACTGGTCTAGTTTGACAGTTGCTTTCTTCCAGGCCTAAATTGTGTCTTTCCATGACCTTCTTGCATTTAGAATTAAGAAATCTGCTGTTGCTCTAATGGGTTTGCCTTTATATGTGACCTGTCTTTTTCTCTTTTGCAGCTTTCAGAATTCTTTCTTTGTTCTGTGTGCTGAGTGTTTTGATTATGATTTGTCTTGAGGTGTTTCTTTTTTGGTCCTGATGGATTGGTGTTCTATAAGCTTCCTGCACCTGGGTAACTCTCTTTCTTTAGGTTAGGGATGTTTTCTGCTATTATTCTATTGAATAAGTTGTCATTGCCTTTAGTTTGTATCTCCTCTCCTTCTTCTACTCCCATGATTTGTAGGTTTGGTCTTCTCATGGTGTCCCAGAGATCTTGCATGTTCCATTCATATTTTCTTACCCTTCTTTCATGATCTCTTACTGTTTGGTCTAATTCCTCTACTTTGTCTTCTGATACTCTGTTTTCAACTTGCTCCACTCTGTTCCCCAAGCTTTCTTTTGCGATATTTATTTGGGATATTGAGTTGTTTACTTTGAATTGATAATTTTTCAGGGTTTCTGTATCTTTATTGATTTCCTCTTTCATATCCTGGATAGTCTTCTTAATTTCATTTATCTGTTTGTTTGTATTCTCTTTGAGCTCATTTAATTGTTTATTCACATTCTCTTTGAGATCAAATACTAACTTTTGTATTTCTTCTTTGAGGTTGTTAATCATTTTTACTATTGTTTTTTGGAATTCATTATTTGATAGCTCTTCCTTTATGCAGGTGTTTGGATCCTTAGTGGTGGAATTGGCTTTTGATGGAGAGCGTTTGTCTTGCTGTTTCATTCTGCATTGAGATTTATGCATCTGGAGTTGTTTTTGCTCAGGATTTTAATTCCTTGTGCCCCTAGAGTTGGAGTTTTGAGTTTTTTTCTCCTGGAGCTCCAGCAGTATTCCTCAGAGATGGGTGTGCTGGATGTGTTACCCTTGCAGGATTCTTGTTGTGGTGTCAATTACCTGTTTTCTCGCCTCAGCGAGGGTGCTGGAGTTCCCGCTCTTTGATGGGGTACAGGGGCTCTCCTGCAGTTGTAGTGGGGAGCACTGGGTCTCTGTGCATGCCTGTTAGCACCAGCATAGTAGTGGACTGGCACTCAGTGGAGGAGCGGAATTCCAGCTCTTGGACAGGAGAAATATAACTCTCCTGCAGGGAGGTGCAGTGTGAAGTGCTGAGCTTCTGTGTACCTTGAGAAAACAGGACTTCTAGTGTTGCCTGTACAGTAACAGGTTATAGTTTTCCTCCCCTCAGTGGGGAATCTGGCATTATCGCTCTTTGATGGAGGAGCAAGTGCTGTTAGGGACAGGGGGGAGGCTGGGCCTCCACGCTCAGTGGAAGGGAAGCCTCCTGGCACCAGCAGGATAGCAAAACCTGGAGCCTGGGGTTCACTTAGGTGGCAGGCTTCTGGCACTGAGTAGCAAGTTGAGGGTACCAATGGGGCAGCAAAGTCAGTGGGCTTGAATCATCTGGTGCCCATAAGGCAGTGGAGGCCATGGAACCTACTTGTGTTGGGGCGTGGGCTTCCAGGAGCCACAGCAGCTGCTGCAGGTGTGGGAGACCTAAGTCTGCAAGTAGCGAGAGCCCTGAGGCTTGCTTGCTGGCACTAGGCTACATGGAGCCATGGCAACTGCTGTAGGTGTGGGAGAACCAAGCCTTCAGGCAGTGGGAGTTCTGGGCCTGCTTTCCAGGCATGGGCTCCAGAGGGTAATGCTGTAGTGCTGTACACATGGGGAAACCAAGCCTTTGGGTAGCGTGAGCCCTGGGGCCTGATTTCCCACACAGACTTCAGGAAGCACAGTTCAGTGGCACTGCTGCTGGCTCAGGGCACTAGGAATTCTGAGGACTGATTTCCCACATGGGCTTCAGGGAGCTCAGTTCAGTGGCACTGCTGCCAAGGGGAAGCAAGCCTACTGGCCTGTGCCTTCTGTTACCTGTGGAGCAGTGGGAGCCATGGGTCTTGCTTACACAGGGATGCAAGTTTCCCTGGCATTTCAGGGTGAAGGGTGCAGGTTGTGTAGTATGGGGGAGCATGGAGCTCCAAGTTGCTGAGTGTGCCAGGAAGCAAGACTTACCACCAAGTGCTGAGTGATGGAGCCTGGAGCTGTGTGGTGACTTCAGTGGTAGGGGATCTGGAGTGTTGAGCTGCGAGTCATTCTTCCCATTCTTCCCATGGTTAGTTGCTTCTCTAGTTGTGAATTCAGACAGGGATTTGCTTCTTGCTGGTTATGGGACCCCGTGGGTACCTTTTGGGTTCTTCTGATCTTCCTTTTTCAAGATAGTTGCCGCTTGGCTATAGGGGTGTCAACTGTCCACCATCTTCCATGTGGCTATTAAAAAAAAAAAAAAAAACCTCAAAGGCCAGAAAGTCAGAGATATATTTGAATATGAATTGTACACCCCAATTGCTGATCCTTGAAGGAGGCTATTTTCTTTTCTGAGCCTCAGCTTCCCAACTACAGAATGAAAGAATTAGGCAAGATAATCTCAGAGATGTCTTCCATCCCTGGTGATCCCTTATCCTGTGACTTTCTGTGCTTGTCTTAAAAAGCACATTATGACATCTAGGAGGACAGGAAATTGTCTGTCTTAGTAACATGGCTTGTATTCCCTTTCAGCAGGGTAAGAACAGAGACTATCTTGGGGTTCACCGTTCTGATTTGGAGAGCTGCATTCTGTGGTCTGGAAGCTGTTCTGGTGGTTCCTCTCATCAGCCTGGAGTAGTGAAACAGGATCACAGGAGAAATTTCCAGGTAACAAACAGCTGACTTTGATTATAGCAGATAGCACAATGATAACTAACATTTCAGTAGGAAGTGTGTAATGTGCATGTTTATAGGATACTTGAAAGTGCTAAGGATGGTCATTTCACCAAGTTTATCATCTTTAATTAGAGGCCATGACTACTAAAACCACATACATCTAAAGCAAAACAAACAAAAAGGACATAAATAATAATTGACATGCATTTCAAAGAAGCTATAATTTCAAGGTGGTCAAAGGCCTCTGGGCACGTTAGCTGTATTCTCAGTGGGATGTGTGCTATTCTGGGTCTTTGGGATGTTTAGGCATGAAATAGAGTAATTTGGAGTGACGTGCAGGGGAACAACAGATTCGAGTCAGAGTTTTAATCACTTCTCCTTGCAGCATCCATTTAAGATTAAGCACAGCTGAGGTTCCTATCTGCTCCTCCTGGCCAACCAAATTTAGATAAGCAGAGGTTTAGGTGTCTGTTAGAGACCTGATTTGTAGCTTACTTGATATAAAATTCTTTGGGGACAAATTTGGCTCATGAAGTTATTATCTGAGAGCATTCACAGTAGACAAATTGCAACAAACCATTCCCAACCTTTCTAACCATCAGCACACCGGTTCTCCCATCATTCACCCCCAACCAATTGTGCTCATTTTTCTTCTGATGAGTAAGGACATGACCACATCTTCTTGAACTGCTCTGTTGGATTTGTACCTTATATGGGCTGACAAGCCTCAGATGACAAAACATCTGGAGGGGATTCTGGATTCTGGTATATTAACACATCTCGCTTTGGTAGCCCTTGGTACCCACAATGACAAGATCAGGAAGCACGAAGGTAGTGCCCAGGCACCAAGATGTCCACACAACTTACTCTTTCACTGGTTGCTGGTTTTACCAACTGACGTCCTCTGCTCTGAAGCTCTTTTTCAGTTAGACGATCTTGAGTTTCAAGTTCCCTTGAAAACAAAACCATAAGCCTTTCATGAAGCCAATAATTGGACAAGGTGACTGCTAATGCATTTTCCAATGCTGAGTTCCCAGGGTCATGAGCTCCAGACTTGCTCCTTAAACCAGATTCTTATTTTGGGGTGGATGGGTTGACTTTGTGTTCACTACCTTTATTCCTCTTCTGGTTTCTTTCTCTGGAGTGGTCCCAGAGCTAAGGCATTGTCCAGAAGAGGGGAAGAGCATTTAGAATTAGACAGGCCTGACCTCTCATGTCAGCTCTGCTATTTACTGGCTCTTTATTTTTCCTTAGGTTGTTTTAAATTCCTTAGTCTCTGTTTCCCCATCTGCAGATGGGGAAAGTACATTTGTGTTATAGACTTGTGGTAAGGATAAAAGGAGATAAAGCATTAGCATAATTTCTTACTTCTCACAGACCACAGCAAATTTTAGTTCCTTTTCTCACCCAACTTTTCTAGAGACACTTAATACAGCTTTGGCCACATACTGGATGCTGTTTGAATCTAGGGGCAGGCCTTGTCCACAACACCATTAAGACCCAGCTAGTTAATGAAGGGAGAATTGTCACCAGGCTTTGCATTTCAGACCTCCTCCTCAGTAGCAGCCTTACTTGGGCTTTGTGCTCACCAGCCTGGCCCTGTCATACCCAACTTCAGGCCCCACTACTTTCTTAGTCCTTTGACTCCTTCCCTTATCCTCTGAAGTAGTAGCTGCACACTAACTTTGTCATGGAAATTTCTTCCTTTCAGACCAGCGTACTTCAAGGCCCAAGGGAAGTAACATTGGTTTGGGGGCAGGCGTCCTGATCTGGGACTCAGCAAGACAGTTAGGTTTTAAGCACATTCTTATCCAGGTTTTCATTTTCTTCCTTGGCTGTTTGCTCTTTTGGGCACTTGTCTATCCAGTCATCCATTCATTCAGCAAATATTTATGGAGCATGTGTTATGTGGCATGTGGCAGGTGTTGCTTGTGCTGGGGATATAGCACAGAACAAAACAAAGCTCCTGTTCTCTGGGAGCTGGCATCCAAGTAGGATCAGAGATCATCAACAAGTAGCAAGCATGCATGTGTTACAAGCAAACAGTAGTCAGTGCTATGGGAAAAAAGAAAGCTGACAAAAACAAATAAATAAACCCAAGCCAGAGAGCTAGGGAGTTAGCTAAACAGGCATTGCTATCATATAGGGCCCCAAGGAAGGCCTCCCAGGAAAGGAATTACTTAAGCAGTATCCAAAGAAAGTGAAGGAGCAAAGGCTCTGAGGGAGAATGTACATGGACTTCAGGGAACAGGAAGTAGCCAATGGGATTGGAGCAGAAGGACTGAGGGGACAGTGGAAGGAAGTGAAGACAGAAAGGAGTGAGCAGATAATGTGGGGACTCAAAATCCACTAAAAGGGCTTGGACGTTTATATTCTGGCTGGCTTTTCCTGAGGTTCTTCTGTCCTTCTTTTCTCCACAGTGTGTCTCAAAGGCCCCATTCCCAAAGTATCCCTAAGTAGAAATAAGGATGGGTGCTCTTATTCAGTAGAGTATTAGCCATTCATTTAAAACCCTTTATTGGGCTGTGGCTTCTGTGACTCTGGACATGAATGAGTCTTAGCCTCATCCTTAGGAGCCAGCCTAGTGCTTCTTCAAGGCTTCTGGGAGAAGATCATCAATAAGTTAGTTTGATGTAAATAGTTGTCCTAATTCCATCATCATACAACCAGTTTGCTAGAGTAGGAATTTTCCACTGGAACCTCCTACAGGTCATTCCTACTAATGCTTTTGGAATTCATTTACATAATAGAGTATTTCCAAGCTTGCCTTCAGGGTAGAAGAAGGACAAATTTATTCAGCAAAATATTTGGTGCCCCTTATTTGTGAGTGTCCAGGCTCAGCCTTGGGCAATAACTGATGACTGCAGTCAGCCCTTGACCTTGATTCATTTGAGGTTTTCCTGGGTCATGTACCATGATCAGACAATGCACGCTTACCCATGCTGAGGTAAGAATGGGTGTCAGAGAGCACAAGGAGGGGCAATTGTGGACCCAGACCAAGGTGCAGAGCCGGAATGCTCCCTGGTACAGGCCTCCATTCTGTCCTAGAGTTGAGGGTGTGGTCCTCAGGTAAAGCGAGGGGGGTGGGAAGCCTTAGGGTAGGATGTTATGAATGTCCATGCTGAATCGTAGCAGGAGCCAGGATAGCTGATGGAGGACTGTGTTCTCTGTCACTTAAGGTTACTGTGGAGTGGGAGGGGAGGACCTGAGAGGCAAAGTGCCCCAGAGGGAAGCTGCAGGTACCAATAAGGGACCTTGCAGGAAAGGCTAAGTGGTTTGACTCTATTCTGAGGACTGTGTAGAGTTGTTAACAGTTTTTAAGCAAAAAATGGATGGTGAGAATAAGATTGGAATTTTAGAAAGGGACTTGATTTCATTTGATGCCCCACTCCCTTTACATGCTTATCTTACTCCCCCTTGTATTACCAGAAGGTCCTAGGCTCCTCAGCTATTAAGGAGATTTAAATACATCAGCCCTACAAAAATGGTCATTGATGGTAGATGAGCACAATGCCTCTTTCCACCATCCAGTGCCCCAGGGAGTGACGAACCCTACAAGGTTTCACATCCTGTATCCTCGCACAGATTCTGGGAAAGGGTTAGAACGTGAGCCTTGTTTCTGATAAGAGGACAGCTGGCAAAACTTATACTCTTCTGGTAGAAATGATAAAATTTCGGACCTTTACAGTTTCTTCTAGTCAAAAAACAAATGGATAATTTCCGCCTCTTAACCCTCTTTCCATTGAATACTGAAATAGTTTTCTCTTTAAAAAGTAGGCATTCATTAAATGGATAATATATAGGTCAATACCACTGGCCAGACACTGAATTGGGCCTGTGAGCATCGAAACAGATTGACCATGATCAAGTCCTCAAGGAGGCTGTAATTATACCACAAAGACAGAGGAGCCAACACTCAGAGGTGCAAATAGTGGACAAGCACTCTGGCATGAACTAAGTGATGTGGACACAAAGCAGAGAGCATTTTTTCTCTCTGTCCAGTGATATCAAGGAAAGCTCAAAGAAGGACCATATAAGCTGGGCATTGAAGGGTGAATATGAGTTGGGAGCTAGAAGAGAGATACTCCTAGTATAGACACACAGTCTATAAATAGGGCCCAACACTCAATTCTCTGTGATGGTGGTGGGGAGGAAATAGCCAGAGAGCTTGTCATCACAGATTATGCCTCAACTCTGCTTTTTAAAAATCCATTAGTAGCCACCTCTTCATCCTCCCACCATGTTCCCAGCAGTGACTAAAAAGAAGCAAAGTGAGTAATTTGAGTTGATCTCTTTTCTGACCCCATGGAGGTGTTAATGAGCAGAATAAGATAAGGGGGAGCACCAAGAAAAGAAGTAGAAAGAGGAGGAGGAATCCATCTCTGTCTTTCAGAAACACTGATTAATAGCATAGATTGTATCATGGCTCTCTTTACGGAGAGCCAGGTCTGCTGCTTCTCCATGAAAGTTGTAGCTGTCCTTCCTCCCTGTGAGAAGGGATCACAAACACATGAGTGCATAACATACACACACAGACACACACATGCTTGTATACACACTCAGACAGATATATGTGTGTGTGTATAGGAGAGTATGTGTATGTATATACTACATAAAACATATTCTGGAACCTAGCACAGAGCCTGGGGTAATTGACCTTCCATTGCTCTTTCTGGCTGAAAGGTGAGTGGATGGATTAGAACCAGCCTTGCTACCCGCACACTTCCCTGATTGTTCCAGGTCTGTGCACTTCCTGCTACTGGATGTTGGCATCAGGGTGGGTACAAAAGATGAAATTGAAGCTGAGGGGGTTGAAGTGGCTTGCCCAAGGCCAACAGTTATTAGGAGGCCATTATCCAAACTTGTTTTAGTTACCCCCCTCCTCCACCATGCATGCTGTGTGTCACCCTCTCTATAACTAAGGAGGGCTTTGAGCAGATGGAGGGGCAGATTCTGTGTGCCCTCCACCTACAGCTTCCACGTGCAGAACT